GACACCGGTAATTCAATACAAAGTACTGCCTCTTCTGAAATGTCCAACGCATGCTTTTATAAACACACACATGAATTAAAGTGATTTTTCTTGAAAGAAAGCCTGTGACTTAAATTCTGTATCACTGCTGAGATATTTTGCAATATTAATAGAAGGCCTCTTGGGAATCTTTCTGATTCTGAAACTAAACAATTATGACACCTTTTAGGTTATAGCTGTACAAGGAATTCTAAGACGTTTTTGTTCAAACTATAACTTGAACACTTTTGGTTGGGTTGTCTTTGTGGGGACCAGCATCTTTGTTTAAAGGCGAGGTGCAGTGCAAATTAGAATATTAATGAATATTCTTTATGAATAATTACGTTAATGTAACAATTTAAACTTACTTTTCAACCAGTAACTTGGATTGTTGGATTTTCAAAATTGTGTCACTTCTTTGAGTGGCATATTTAGAAGTTGGCGAGTCAGATAAGGACAAACTTTATGCATGAACAACTTCTTTTATTCGGGAATAAAAAAGTTGTTCATCTATAAAGTTTGTCCCTATTCAAATTTGTGGACCACCAACTTTGTTTACAGCTTCGCCTATAAACAAAGTGATAGGTTTGATTATGTTAGGAAATTTCTTTGTGTCTTCAAAACGGCTTGAAGTTTTCTAAATAAAATTTAACTGTGTTTTCAATCCTCTTTATGAGGATCTGGTTCCACCTCTGGGAGTAAGGGTCAAACCTTTCCTTTCTGCTGCTGACATTGACGTCCATGTTTCTAATATTTCTACGCACTGTCAGAAGTTTCTAATTGAAATGTTTTATAACGGCAACATTTATTTATTATTTTTTAAAAAGTTTCTCCATACAATTTTTTTTTTTTTAAATTGTTTCTTGCCTTGTGGTGACTGCTCCATGGGAAGTCTAAGGGAAGTAACTCTACATTACCTAACATTTGCTGTATTGATTTTTCTGAGTAAAGACCTTCGTTACAAGTAAATGTTCCTTGTTGAATTTGTACCCGGTCTCCCCAAGCTACAAAGTACATGCTACATTTCAGGGGGTATGCACATTAAATAAAACACGGAGATCAAGTAGGGTTGGTCCTAAGCTAACGCTCATCACGTACCCATTTTCATTTGTTTCACTGTTTCAACTACGTACTGTGCATACCCCCTTGTAATACAAACAAATAATGGCGATTTGAATCTATGGTCGCCAACAACTGAAGGTAAATCACCATACTAGGAACCATGGGGACTTACATTACTTTTGCTACCTGCATGCATGGATTTACACCATCCCTTCAGCCGCTGGCTATTGTAGGAAAACTTAGCCGGCAGTTAAAAGAACAAAAATACTACGTTTAAAATGTGGTAAATTTACATTTTACTTTGAAAGTTTTAGGACTTAATTTTACAGTACTTTAACCCCCTTTGAGGGATCATGTATGAACTTCACGTGAAGCACATGCACAGAGAAGAGTCTGTGTACGCCTGTATGAGAAATTCAAATCGCAGGTGACCTAAGCACTTGCTTAAAATGCACCAGAGCAGTGTCTCAGTGAACAAAATGGCGAACTGTGGATACTTTAAGAGAAGCATCAATATCAAAATTTTCACTAATGTGTTTGCAAATCAAATAGTGTAATTGTTCGACCGGGGAACAAGTACAGACAAAAGAGGTTGCAACGAAACCTTGAGTGAATGAGTGAGTGGGTTTTACGCCGCTGCTAGCCGGGATCGGGTGGTCAGGCTCGCTGACTTAGTTGACACGTCATCGTATCTATTATATTTTGTAGATTGATGCTCGTGCTGTTGTTCACTGGATTGTCTGGTTCAGACTCGATTATTTACAGACCGCCGCGTATAGCTGGAATATTGCTGAATGCGGCGTTAAACAACAACCCATCCATTCACTTTCAGCAATATTCCAGCAATATCACGGCGGGGGATACCAAAATCAACGAGACATGGACATGGCGGGACTAGAACACGACACCTAAACAAGATGGTCTCTTTACATCAATACTACTATGTATACGAATCAAATTTGCTTCAGTTATCAACAGAGAATCACCTACAAAAACAGGATGGCGAATTTTTCTCCCGTAGCGACGAGCGACATGACTGGGCAACAATTCTTGGCTTTGGTCGGAATAGGAACGGTTGTGCCAAGGTTTTGGGCGGTATCACAAATGACAGGAAGACTTATTTTGGTTATTACGAAGGGAATTTGTTATTTGTATAACAATTTTTTGTTATTTGTTGTGCATATATTATAGGCGTTACTTGTTTTTCAATTTGGAATTGGACCCGTAACAATATGATACACAGTTACTTTTCCCATTAATGTAAATGTACCATGTATATCAACAAGTTTTCCAACCTATTTTTTAAGCAATTTTTTAAGCAATGATGACTGCACTAATGTACATTAGCAATGGTGTTCACACTAATGTACGTTAGCAATAATGTTCGGCTATAATCACACTTCCACATTGTGCAATTCCACCTTTTAAGACTCTTCAAAACGCGTGCGATTGAGAAATCTCCCCCCGTCTGTCGTCAAATGCGAGGATGTCGCCCACAGTATGTAAGCGCGACCTTGTCAGCGCAACCAATGACAGACCATTAAGGGATTAGTTTCCGCCCTCCTTTGTTTTCAAGCACACTCAAGACAGATTGTTGTCATACTGAGCTAACTTCCAGGCATAGAGACCCGTGATGGTCCGGGTAAGAATGAACCTTCAGTTACCCATGCTTGTCGTAAGAGGCGACTAACGGGATCGGGTGGTCAGGCTCGCTGGCTTGGTTGACACATGTCATCGGTTCCCAATTGCGCAGGTCGATGCTCCTGCTGTTGATGACTGGATTGTCTGTTCCAGACGCGATTATTTACAGACCGCTGCCATATAGCTGGAATATTGCTGAGTGCGGCGCAAAAATAAACTCACTCACTCCCTTGTCGAGTTACAGACCAGTAAACCATTGAACGGATTGTCTATTTACCGCCCATTCAGATGCACGTTCTATACGTGGAGTATATTGGTGTGTTTGGAAAAGCGACAAGCAAAACAATTTATCGGATCGTTCGTCTGTAATAGGGGAAAAATGTAGCTCTCGAAATTCAAATATGGCGGTCGTTTGACCAAGACAGCGACGTAGTCTTCTTCATTCATTGTACTGCTGTATATCTGACAGGCGTATTTGGTCTTACATGTAGGTTACATCTTTAAACTAGTATAAAACTGTTGTGAAACATACGAGCATGGACATGGTACTTCCAAACAGTGTGTGAAATAGCCACTGGCCCGCTAACCCGTGGCTAGTAAAAATGCAGTCGGGCCAGTAAATCTCCACAGTCACTGGCCCGACAGGCTCGTGGATTTTCATAGGGTCATTTTGTAAATATATCACTCTCTCCGCTTCGTTAAGTCATAATACACTTTTAAATCATGCAAAATAATTGCCTGGCAAAAATGTTCATCATATTAGCAGCTTGATGATGAAACCCATGCCGACAATATCTTATTCACATCTATTTTCGTAATCTTTTGCTTAGTTTCTCCATTCAAATTTCAGGCTAGTGAATTATTTTGTGGGTCGGTAACTTCAGGCATTGCTAGCCCGACTGGCTAGCAAAATTTGGAAGCTATTTCGCGCACTGCTTCCATTAATCAGGAGTTTTATGAAAAATAACCAAATGAAAACATTGATTACACAACAGTCTCGTTTCCTGTTGACTGGGTTCCGTCCTATTGCGCAACTTAGTACAATAACCAGTCCACAATTTTGAGACCAATTAAGTTAAGTGGATACATAAATATTAATCAGTATTATTTGATACATCTAAGCACTTGTATATTGCAACACTACGCTCCTTCCAATCCTTACAAACACGTCGTGCATCGTGCTCTGTCGTACAGCTTGCTCTGACAGACTGAAATCTGGAAATCGTGGAAATCTCAAAACGAGGCTCTGCCGCTAGAAAAGTTTGTCTGTCTGGTACGGACTTGATATTATCTCAATCACATTGTACGTTACAACACTACACTGAATAAGCGCAAAAAAAACACATAACAGGTGGAACCAGTGAGCCAGATGCATTGTGAATCATTTTACGACCTCATCAAACAGGGGCAGTCTGTGACCACTTTCTTATGAAACAAGAAATTCGAATTCAGTGTAACCATAGTTGTTTGTGATGTCTATTTTCACTTTCACACGAGAAAATTCGGATGGAAAGTGGGTCATAGTCTGAATAGGTTAATGAGACTTATGTTTCAGTTTGATTGCTATCCTCACACAAATCAAACTAACAGCAACAACTGCAATTATGACACTTAACAATTAATGACGTTAAAACATTTTTGACGTTAAAAACATGTCAAGGAACAAGCACTTAAGAGTGTTAATGCTGTACGTTAGCATGTTTGTGGTATCATATCTCTCAAGGAATCAACAAGACCATGCTTGATTTCGGTCAACAGACAGGTGATTGTGTGAATCAGCGTTCGTGTGTCTGCACGTCTCAAACGGGGTGACATTGCACAAATCTTCCGTACAATCACGCCATAACATGCAATGTGACATGACACTGAAATACGTTATGCTTGGGCACACAAGTGCACTGGTATGTTCAAACTTCTGTGGCATGTCATTGCGCCCAGGCTGAGACAATAATGATACAACACGTCTTTAAATGTCATACAAAGACTTTATTATTGATGCATAATAAGAGGGAGGACCCATTTTCAATAAGCAAGTGGCGTTTTCGCGTTTTATCCCCTCTCGAAAACAAAGAGAACTTCTGAATGAATATTAGCTATATGAACGTAAGTGTAAGTATTGTGATCTGACTGATAGAGTCGCTAACATTGGGATGTTCTTTCGTGTAACCAAAGCCTGCCTAACTCCTGTTACTGCCTGGCACCCCTATTGGTTTAAACGGTGTCACGACGTAGACCCGGGTTTGAATCCAATGATGGGTACAATATGCGGATCTCCTTTCCAGTTGGAACGTTCCTCCATTCAGTGTAAAAGTTGCCTGATCAATTGATAGTTGATGTAATAAAACAATAGGAGACACTGTACACTTGTGATCGATCTTTAATCAACACTTGCGCGAAATTTCGGTTACTTTAAGCTTGCTCTGTTATGCTCGCTGTGGACGTTGCAACAAGCTGATATAAGGTGCTTCGTGGCAGACAGGGCTTAAAGCGTGAAGTAAATACATGTTTGTGGCAAAAACGGGAAAAATAGTATTTTTTTAGTATTTGTAACAATTCATATTTTCGTTAACCAAGATTAGTTACCTGTACTGTCTATTTCGACAATAGATTGGAAGCATAAATCTTTCATTCTACAATAAATTTTAAACGCTTCTTTTGAACGTCATATTGTTTTGCTATTCCTTCCTCCTCGGACTTAAAGGATACAAAACACGTATTATACATTAAACATTATAACTACGTCATAGATGTTACAAACCTTCAGCGAATTTACAGTCAGCTATAATGTCACAATAGTTTGCACACTTGAGTATGTATATACGAGTTTATGCAGACTGAAATGATCAATGATCTCTTTGATATCTAGGCTTTGACGACCATCTTCCCAATGTTGGCTCCTTTCAAGAGCGACATGAAGATCTTGGGCATGTTGTCGAAACCACCTTGGACCGTCTCTCTGTACTTGATCTTTCCCTGTAATATATAATAGAATAGAATGTGAAATATGTCCTGTTGAAATTATCAGATGCCCTTTGGAAATGATCGTCACACCGAAAACCCGGGGTCAATTCTACAGATGTGGACAAAGTGCCGATTTTTAGTGTCACCCGCCGAGATATTGATGACTTTTGCTAAAAGCGGCGTAAAACCATATTTACCTACTCACTCGGTATATTAATACCCACTCAGACCCTTATTGTATATATAATATGTTCTTAAACTGCAAGTGTTGCACCACATGATGACCATATATCACTATAAGTAATCACGCGAATTTGTTTTACAGGGTTTAAGGTCATGTGCATGTACACTTAGTAACCCTTTACTTTGGAGTGAAAGATTACAGGCTACTTCGATGTTGCTTCTCCTAGTCGCTTCTAAAGTTTATAAACGTATGCTTCACAATCTTTCTTAATCTTATCCGAAGCCGGGTCACAGTTTGTTTGACCGGGTTGGTGTCACAGGCCCTCGTGTCTTTGCGAAGATAAATTTTCTATTTCGCTCACTTCGACCAAACCCCCGTTTTGTGCGGACATATCGTCATCCATTTGTGTCAAAATCGTTTAGTTGAGGGTCAAAATCGGGTTTCAATCGGCTTGCAGAAATAACAATAAAGAATTGGTAGGTGTCATGAGTGGGGATAGATAGGCCAATCATCCATGATTATATTTACATTAAGTTTTAATCGATTTTATGCGATGGTACCGTAGCGATCGGCCAAGCAGGCGGGTGTGGTACACCAAAGTGCCCGGCCGTGTCATGATTTATTGTACTGTGAAGCATTTCGAGTCGGGGTCATCTAACAAGAAAAATCTTCTCAAAGACACGAGAGCCTGTGGTCGATGTCCCGAGGCAAGATTTAAGACCTCCGCAGCAAAGGCACTGTAAGTCCCCATGGACCCTAGTATGGTGATCTACCTTCAGTTGTTGGCAATCAATAGTCTGTTTTTATATTGTGTTGTGTATAGTAATATATTTTATGATAGTGGACTAGTTTTAAATTAAAAGCTGTGATATTCTAGTAGTTTTACTGTCCTTCGCTGACAGATTTTTATGCCCCCGCCATATATATGGCTGGGGCATATAGGTTTACCCTCGGTGTCCGTCCGTCTATCCGTCCGTACGAAACAGGGAATGTATTCTATCCACTTTTCCAGCATAACCGCTCTGTGGAATTCAATGAACTTATACATGGGCTTTCTTGGGACTCTAATGGTGTGCATCTCATATTTTGTTTTTTTATTTTAATGGTTTTTTTGTAAGTTTAGAGACATTTGAACTTAAGTACATTTTGCTGAATTTCTCAAGTGTAATAGGGGATGAAGTCTATCCACTTCTCCACACAAACTGCTCAACAGAACTTCTACATGCCTTTTGTAGGGACTCTAAAGGTGTGCATTTCATATTTTTGTATGCAATTTCTTAATTTTGTCACTTTTACAGATGTTTGAACTTAGTTGAATTTTGTTCTATTCAGCCAGTGTTCGTTCCATCCAACAGGGGGTGTACGTTATCCACTTCTCCTCAAAAACTACTTTATGGAATTCATTTAGATTACACATGTGCTTTATAGGGACTCTAAAGGCGTGCTTCTCATATTTTGATTTTGTATTTTATTTATTTTTCCAATTTTAATGCCGTTTGAACTTAGATAAATTTTGTTGAATTTCACTCTGAATATAGTGTTGTAGTGGGTGAAGTCTATCCACTTCTCCACAAAAGCTGCTCAACAGAATTGATTGAGCTTCTACGTGTGTTTCATTGGAACTCTAAAGGTGTGCATCTCATACCTTGTTCATCCAATTTCTTAATTTTGTCACTTCTACAGATGTTTGAACTAAGTTGAATTTGGTTCTATTCATCCAGTTCGTCCCATACAACAGGGGGTGTACTTTATCCACTTCTCCTCAAAAACCACTGCACAAAACTCATTTAGCTTACATATGTCTTTTATAGAGACTCTAAAGGTGTGCATCTCATATTTTGTTTTCGTATTTTATAATTTTTTGTATGTTTAGAGACATTTGAACTTAGGTACATTTTGCTGAATTTCTCTCTGATGATAGTGAAATAGGGGATTAGGTCTATCCACTTCTCCACAAAAAACTGCTCAACAGAATTGATTAAGCTTATACATGTGTTTCATTGAGACTCGAAAGGTGTGCATGTCATAGCTGCATAGATGTTGATTGAACTTTTTCGTGAATTTTGTTCAATTATTGATCTTTATATGATAATACGTTGTGTTATCTAACCCGTCAACACATTGTTTTTAGTGTTTTCAGGTACTTGTTTAATGTGTGATAATTTGTTTATGGTTTAATTTGTTTAATTTTCGAGACTTTGTCTGAAATAAATAAATATATATGAACTTTTTTTGTGTTTTCTCTCTTGATTTTTTCCTGATTATTGAAGATGTGATTTTCAATCCATGTATGTGTCATTTTTTTGTGGTAATGAAATGAACACCTGCAGTGGCACTCCTGGCAGCCAACTTCCTCGTAGTGAGTGCCGGTAACATGAACAGCAAGACCAACATTACAAGGTAATCATTTTCTGTGTTTGTGTGAACTTGCACTCGACTTGTGGCTTTGTGTAGCTGTAGTCTGTGTAGCTCATTCTCCCATACTCTTGCACCATTCACCCTGTGGTAAACCTTCACCCAACTCGTGTCTCTGAACACCCCTGTTGTGCTTTTGGTTTGCTTGTATTCCCTTCAAAACTTACTATTGTCCACTTCAATCCCTTTAAGTATTCCCATATAGCATCACCTGAGTAAAACAGCTAGCTTCATGTCTTGCTTTTCATGGCTAAAGGGCTGTCCATTAATCATATGCATGTTTCTCCTTCTAATCCTAGATAAGATCAGCATGTTGCTTCCAGTAGCCGTCCCATTAGCGATGCCTGTTGCATTAACTATCTTCACTTTGCAGATGCATCCTCTCATAGTCATTGTGCTGTAGTTACTACATACACTCCGTAGATCTTATAGTATTTTACCTTTCAGGAATTATTGATTCAATATGGATGAAAAGTTATAACTCACAGAAATGGTTATATTCAGTGGAATATTTCTGTTAGTGGGCCATGCACTGGTAAACAATCCAGTTATTATAGCAGGATGACATAAAGCTTTGCTTCTACCCAGGAGACAAGTTTACAATTTGATGTCATGAGTTCCACACCAACAAAGAGGTCTGGTACAGACCAGGGATTAAGTACACCCGAGAAGCTGCCCAGGTACACAAGTCCGATCAGTACACCCGAGAAGCTGCCCAGGTACGCAAGTCCAATCAGTACACCTGAGAAGCATGCTGCTGGGAGACCGAAGACAAGCCTTACTTCAGTGGCTGTGGGTTTATTTTCATCACTGGATGACATTGACACTCAAATATCTGCATCACTCTATAAATTTGGTCAGGCCAGGTCTAATTCATATGATAATGGAATTCAGCAATTATCTCAAGCCTTGGAGAAACTGTCAACCCTCAGAAGCACATTGCCAAGAGACATCTCCCAAGTTGATCAGGAGTTTGCAATGGCTATTGACAGGATAGCTGTCCTTGAAAGGCGGATCGTTAACATGGAGAGGACACAGCACTACCTCCGTAATGAACTGAGTAAGAGACCTGCTGCTACTATAGCCAAGGATCCAACACAAGAACTAGAGGATGATGATGATGATGTTTTGTTGTCAGCTCCAGATCCTTCTACTGATGACTCATTCTTATCTCAAACAGGACCTGCCACATATGCTAACCAGACGGATACAAATGATAATTAGAACACTCAAGACAAAAGACATGGATCTGAATAATCTATTGTTAATCCATAATCCTATGTTAATGTTTCATTACAACTTTAGTTGTGTTCAGTAAAGATTTGTTAATGTGTTACCCATTAGTCATAAGATGACACAAAAGATATACTTTTCAAACTTAGTAATCTAAACTCTTAAGATCTTATCCTTATAAGTGTTTACATTCACAGTGAACTGTGGTTTTGTTGTACTAAGATAATGTGTTTATTTCATTTATATTCACAGTAGACTGCTACTTACTTCAGAAGAAGGATAATGTTGTTTTAATGTATCAGTTTCAAAACAATAAAGTTTGTTTCAGATTGCTGACTTGTGTGGATGATTGCTGTTTTGACTATCTGCTGTGTCTGATCCTGAGTTGTGTGCCTCATCACAGTGTTGCAAGACAAGTATTGTTAGTCACAAATTTATCTCATGTAAAGTACTCTAAAAGTACAATAAAATATTCTTTCACTATGTGGTATCTAAAACCCTAACACAAATTACTTAGTTCTTCCCTAGAATACCTTAGAGTTACACATGGATAAATTGTACAATTACTACTTATGGTTCTACTAAGTCTTTGATTAACTTCCCACAGAACTCCTAATGTGTTTGCAGGTTATTGATCATGCTGAAGGTCAGAAGGAAGGGTCGACGAGTCAGACTGGCTCAAATGAAGGAGTACCATCAAGAGAAAACTGCAGCTGAGCGGTAGGCATTGTGGCATTTACTCATATCAATTATATATTCATAACTGGTTTCTTGGATTTGTTTATCATTGTCATCTAAATTTTCTTTGGGAATGTAGCACTCTGGTGTACTAACTTCAAGTTTACTGAAAATTAAGTTTGTGGACTACCCGTTCATTTCATGCCATGTTCACGTAATAATAATGACTAAGCAGTTGATACAGATTCTTTCAAATTGTGACAATTTAATTGCTCAGAGTGAACAAGTTTTCTTACTGAGTGCAAAGTATATGTTCAGTGTTAATTTCAGAAATATCCCTGCTTCTGACAACGAAGACCCGGAGATACCTGTCCAAACTAGCTGTTGTACTGTGACACCCAGTCATGTATGTATACTACTGGCATGTACTCTTACTCCAGCAATCATACTGTTAATAGTGTTATTGTTTCATGGTAACTTGAACTTTAATCAGTAGCTGTTG